ATTTACAGAGCGCTGCTCATCCCAAAGCACTTCAAGAAGTCATTTTACCCACCACAGAAATGCAGCCATTTCTGAAGCAGCTTACAAACCGGTCCACCAATCAGCCATGGGATTTGGGGGTCACAGCAAAAAACTAAATAGAAAAAAACAAAATGGAAACAAGAGGGGGAGACCCCTTAAAGCACCCTGAACATTTCAATTTCAGCCACTGGAAGGCAACACAACAACTCTGCTTGGCCACAGGTCCCAAGGAAACAAAATAAGGCAGGCAGGTTCTTTAGAACTAATAATAAAAAATCGGCATTCACAGTGAGACTTCTGGCTATCTCTGGAAGAAGCATAATCCCCCTTAGTGCAGGCAGTAAACTTCCCCCAGTTACTCTTTTCCAAGCCTGACTCTATACCAGGAGCTCCCTAGGCTAGGAAGAGAGTAGAAGAAAGCAGATCATTATTCTTCTGCTAGCTCCTCCACCCATATGGCTCAGCTGCCAATTCCTCCCCACAGCAACCACACAAACCACAGCTGACAACTCAAGCAGCTTATAAAAGTCAACTTCCTCCATTCAGCCTAGGAAGGGGCACAAACACCCCATCACGCTGCTAGCTAACAGAGCACAGCAACACTGCACAGGAGTTTAGGCCAGAAAGAAAGGGAGAACAGAACTGGCTGCAGTTCAAACTGCAGGAGAAATTCTAGGTAGGCAGATTTACTATATTAATTGGGTTAACACGTTTGGTACCACCATCCAGACTGGGATTAGAAGCACCATGGGATCTTTAATGATCACAAACGGTTAAGAACTTGATTCTGCATCAAAAGTTCACATATTGAATTGCCAACACCGTTTCCTGGAGCACTCAGAGTTTTTAATCTAAGCGTCTGACTCCTCTGGCAGCTCCAGCCCAATTGAGCTGCAGGGCCCCCTTTTATACTTTCTGTCCCACCCCTCTGCTTCTGGCAGGGCGGGCACGGGTGTCCTGGTTCCGCCCACCAGGGGTTGGGTGGGGGTTCCTCCCCATCAATCTTTAAGGGAGGTCACGGCCCTTCACTACAGCAGATATATGGTCTTAATCCTTTGGAGAAACTAAGGCAAGCAATTTACAAACTAGACAAGACTGCATTTGTAAATGCACTAAAAGCAGAAGCCTAACAGTGAAGTCCAAGCCATCTTTAGTACTTCAGTCGGGACACAGGACAAACTGCTCAATATTGAGACAGTCCCGATTTTATCAGGACATCTGGTCACCCTAATTGTTTATCTCACATAGAATAAAAAACCACATGCAGCATCATGCACTGCTAATAAGAAATGCTTCTTTCATAAAGTATTTGCTTGGGAGTATGGGGTAAAATTAGGTAAGCAGTTGTCCAGCTTTTATAAAACCAATCATCCATAGTGTTAACAACTATGCTCAGGAACTGGAACACTTCTGTGTAATCAATTATCATTTCAAACCTGGAGCATGAAACAACCACTGGAGGGCACCACAACCCCACTGCACAACAGTGTATGATCAGCAAAGACAGACACTCAGTAGGAAGTAATGAAGGCTTCCCTTCATCACAAGTTTTTGGGGACAGGGAGAGAGGTAATGAAGAGTGCTCAGTTAGTTCAGAGAGGTGCCATCGTTTCAAAATCAGAATCTAGTTGAAGGACCTAGTAGAGAGAGCCATATGGTCTTGGTGGACAGAGAAATTTTTTTTTATAACAAAGCTTAAATGCAAATTGTTCTGCCTGGGATTCTGGCTATGCCTTCCCCCTAGAGTCTTAGTTCTGAAACCAGCTCAGGTAAACATAGAGGTGGTAGCTCTGTGCAAGCTAGAGTGCTAAAAATAGCGACATGGCTGGGGTAGCAAGGACCGCAGCTTGGACTCGCCATCTGAGCACAACCCCATTCGAGATCCTAGTTACATACACAGGCGGCTAGCCCAAGCTGCCACAGTCATGCTGCTATTTTAGCCTGCTAGAAATTACACCTCCCAGCTGCAGATATACCCTGTGAATTAAACAGGCATACACTGCATGTCCATAATGCCATACGTGCAAAACGGTACTGACTGTATATTATAGTAAGATTTCAGAGTAACAGCCGTGTTAGTCTGTATTCGCAAAAAGAAAAGGAGTACTTGTGGCACCTTAGCGACTAACCAATTTATTTGAGCATAAGCTTTCGTGGGCTATAGCTCACTTCATCGGATGGAACCTCCAACGCATTATTAAGGATCTACAACCTATCCTGAAGGATGACCCAACACTCTCACAAATCTTGGGAGACAGGCCAGTCCTTGCCTACAGACAGCCCCCCAACCTGAAGCAAATACTCACCAGCAACCACATACCACACAACAGAACCACTAACCCAGGAACCTATCCTTGCAACAAAGCCCGTTGCCAACTGTGTCCACATATCTATTCAGGGGACACCATCACAGGGCCTAATAACATCAGCCACACTATCAGAGGCTCGTTCACCTGCACATCCAGCGAGAAACTGTTGAATTGGAATTCATTTGCAAATTTGATACAATTAACTTAGGCTTGAATAGAGACTGGGAGTGGCTAAGTCATTATGCAAGGTAACCTATTTCCCCTTGTTTTTTTCCTCCCCCGCCCCCCCCCAGACGTTCTTGTTAAACCCTGGATTTGTGCTGGAAATGGCCCACCTTGATTATCATACATTTTGTAAGGAGAGTGGTCACTTTAGATAACCTATTACCAGCAGGAGAGTAGGTTTGTGTGGGGGGTGGGAGGGGGGTGAGAAAACCTGGACTTGTGCTGGAAATGGCCCACCTTGATTATCATACACATTGTAAGGAGAGTGGTCACTTTAGATAAGCTATTACCAGCAGGAGAGTGGGGTGGGAGGAGGTATTTTTTCATGCTTTGTATGTATATAAAAAGATCTTCTACACTTTCCACAGTATGCATCCGATGAAATGAGCTATAGCTCACGAAAGCTTATGCTCAAATAAATTGGTTAGTCTCTAAGGTGCCACAAGTCCTCCTTTTCATTATAGTAAGAAAGGCACTGACAGATATAACTCCGTATCAACGGATGCATCAACGTAAGCAGGGTGACTGAAAACATCTGTGTACAGTGGGAGACTTGGATTTGCACATAGCTTTTCCACCAGTCTGGCTGTAGGACTGTCTGTGATGAATGTGAGGAGGGGCTATAGCCTACCAGTGGGATGTTGTCAATTCTTCTCTCGCTGTGTTGTGGGTCCTTTCTTGTTTTATTCAACCAGTTCTCTATGTGTTACCCTACAGGCTCAGGAGTCTGAAGGCCAGGCTGTGTGGTTATGAAATCAGTTGCACCCAGAACATGAATGAGACAGTTTCTACACATTTGGTTGGGCTATGTTTAATGTCAAAACTATTGCTATACTTTCAACTGACTATTAAATTAGCAGTACTGCCAACCTCAAGTGTTCAAGAACGATGAATCAGAATATCATGAGATTTGAAAACTAGGTTCTTTTTATTTGTCTTTTGTGATGGCACATTTAGGATTTGCTTTTCTCTGCAACCAGGAGGGCTAGAAACTCTCTTTTTTAATGAAAGAGGAGATTCTCTAGGACTAACCTGACTCCAGCAGCTGGAACATGAAGAAAAAGACCAATCATCACAAGATTCATGATACAATTGTGAGAGTTGGCAACAGTGAATTAGGGCTGAGTGTTCAACTGATTCAGTTAACCACCTGCCCCACCATGATGGTGACAGAAATACTGCATGCATTTCCTCTGGTGTGAGCCCCCACTTCAGTGCCCAGGCCTTCAGTGATACAGGAACTGTCCCTCCCTATCCAAGGCAAAGTTGATCTGCCCCATTAAGTTTTTACAGCACTGTATTTGAGCAGTAAAGGCATGCTTTCAAGAAAGCCTGGCCATCAAGATCAAGAATCACTGCATCAATTGCATCTTTTGCCTCCGCTTGCTCTGTCTCTTAGTTAACATTCAGCTGAATATATAGTAGATAATGCAGTTACAGTTCCCCTATGGACCACTTAAAAGAAGATTATATAGATTAGGGAAAGGAAGCAGCTATGAATGCACCCAGCCTGTCTCACCTTAATTCAGATCCTACGTAGGTCACTAGTGACAGTGAGATCAAGAGTGCTTGCAGTGCCAGCATCTAACAGACGTCTGGAATTTTTTAGTTACTTTTCTAAAGATGGGTTGGGTGAGAGCCATTCAACAAATGGCACAGCTGGTGAACAGACACTGAATTCAGCTCCAGCAGACAAATACTGCTTCTCCACTGCCTAATGTAGTCATTGTTCCACGCAACCAGATGTTCTATGGAAATACCAAATATAACTACAGGGTGAATTCCCAACTTTATTTTTCTTCAGAATTAGATTTTCTGGTAACAGAGTCAGTCTCTGAGGCTCCTGGCTAGATTCTGTGCTGAAAGGCACACCATTGATGGCATACCTCTGGGATGGGGGAGCCAGGTTGCCCAGATTCCTCTAGACTCCCTACATTTTTGGTGGGTTACTTTTCAGCTCCCCGCTGTATGAACACTCACTGTCCTGCCCCCAGTGGAGGCGGCAAAGAGAGACAACGTAAGGCCATATCCACTGGCCCTATCTAGCTGCTGCACAGCAAGAATTCTCCCCCCGATGGTTGTTGTTCCTCTATAGGCCCATGCACAGGCAAAGTGGTGAATAGGGACTGGAATAGAGGACAGGAAGGTACTGCCTTCATCCCTGAAGTTTGGGAATATAAATGCCAAAGCTAATCTCAGTTTATACCATCATAAAACTCAGGTTGTGCAGTGCTGAATCAGGCCCCAGGAGCACAAGCACAGAAATTCAGGGAGCCCTTGTGCAGAAGTGTGTGTAAGGGTCTATGTACCCAACTCTTTACCCCCTGTGTAAAGCTAGACATACTAGCAGCCCTCAGCAAGCAGTTAAGGTGATGCTCTTTAACACTTAGTACTGGCGTACACATGGTTTCCCCATACACCATAAATTTCCTTGCTTTAGGGTCTCAAACACAGCCTTGTGCACTTTTAATGTAATTTTATTTAATAGCATAAAACATGCTTGTATAGTGAGAAAATAAATGCAACACAAGACATTGGAAGTCTTACTTCAAATATTAGATAATTTTGAATACGACAATGCAGTAGTTTAAAAAGGTGTTAACTTACCAATGATTATAACAAAGTGATTTCAGGTAGAAAGACTTTCGAAGCATATGCCATGTGGTTTATATCTAAGGTTTTCAACTTTTTTCCCCAGCAATCACTCCCTTTCAACAAATTCTTATTTAGAAATAAACGTATTATTTTACAAACAAGAAATAAAGGAAGAATTCAGAGTAGTCAGCCATGGATGTTCAGGTTTATATCCATCAGATTCTCCTGGTATCCACCTGGTGATGACCCAGCCATATACCAGTACTATTCACAGAAGAAGTCAATGGCCTGAAAGACAGTCATTAGAAAAATGAGCAGAGGCTCTTAGGCATTGTTATACCAAATAAGAACTGTGTACAAATTGAATCAAGGTGCAAAATCCATTTTGAAAAGGTAAGCAAGGAGAAGCAAATGTTAAATAAATTACCACTTTAAAATTCTACTGTATAAATCATGGAACTTGTCTCAGAATACTAAAGAAGAGTTCCATATTGACTAGTTAATGCTTTATACTAAGCCTTTCTAGTTTTGTTTCTCTTTTGTTCTTTCATTTACTATGGCTAATCAATGATTGCTACACACTGAGCCACATGCAGTCCTGGTGTCACATTGTGGTCTGCCATGGACTTCAGTGGAGATGTGGCCACTTCACAGTAGAACTGAATCTGGTCCTTTAAATTCCTGTAAATAAAACTTGCTTGATAAAGTACAAGTCCTACCAAGTAACTGTTCAGTGAATTTATCCATAGAAATATGTTCTGTGAATTTCCCCTGGACCACACCTGGTAAGAAAATACTTCTGAACATAAAAACAATGATGAAACACATATATAGCTTGAAGAGGATTTTTCAAATGCTTTCCTATTTGAATGGAGTCATACATTTGAACAGAACATAGCTTAATATTCAATATTAATGAAGGTAATTACCGGAAACTTGTTCAATGAAAGATGTTTTAAGATTTTCATGAAAGTGGTTTTAAAGAGACAAGCTACCAAGCAATCTGAGTCTCTGTGCCAACACACTAGCTTCTGAGAAACCAAACATCTGCTTCACAGTGTAACTGAGGGTTTTTTTTAAATTGAATGTATTACAAGTCTTCAGTAAAGTTAAAAATTCCATGGGGCAGTGGAAAGCTTGAGAAACTACAGTAGTCTGATACAGTGCAACAGAAATAAAGCAGCCTGGTTGTTTCAAAATAAACATTTGAATATGTTTCTAATCACTTTAATTTAGTGTATTAATGCTTTCTCCTTAGATGCGTAAGCAAGCTTTTCACACACACACACACAGGGTGGAGGTACATGGATTACACAAAATGCCTTTAAAATTTGCTAAAACTTTCCTTTTCGTTGCTTTGGTCTAGTTTTTAGTAAATTGAGGAGCACTTATATTTTAAAACAAAAAAATACTGGGTGGTTTTAGAAAAAAAGACCTTTTGATGTTTAAAAATAGCCTGGAATGCTTTGTCTCATATTGAACTGAATTGTGAATGAGTGAATTTTCACATGTAGTTGTAGCCTCTTCCTGGTCCCACTGGAGCAGACAGCAGAACTCAGGCTCCTGTCACATAAGGAAAGTGAAGCATGTGCTCATTATAAGAATTCTCTATAAAAGAGACATCTCTATTTGTGTAAATAATTAACGGAGACTGTGACAGTATAGGGTGCTCATGAATATGCAGCATGATTCTTCGGCTCTGTAGGACCCATAAAACTTACTGTACACTGCAGATGGAATCTTGAGTGCAGTGCATGATGGGCTTAAATCTACACCATTCAAGTCAATAAGAGATTTTCAATGCACTCAAATGGGAGCAGGATCAAACCTTACATGAAGCTCTCAACAGTGCTTAAATGGTAGCAAGAACAGAGCCTAAATTATGAGTTCAGTGTGGTTCCTCGACAAAGTATGGGAAGACAGGATCGGGCCCCAGGCATTGTGTGTGGCTCAGCACTATTACAGTCAACAGTGGGATGGTGTAGTGCATAGCGATGATTTGTTTTTATAGCAAATTAGCATTACACAGTTGAGTATATTAATGTAACCCCCTGGCCTTTTGCAGATTCCTTACCGTTGTAGGGATTGTCTTATTAGCTTCTTGATAAACATGCTGCTCTGAGACTAAACTGCTGGGGAAGTAGCCAACAGTTCCCATCTGGTCTTCATACTCCTCACCATACACCTTAGAGCAAGAAAAGCTATAATTAGATGCAATAAAGCAGCCCACATCCAGTTTAAACTAGTTCAAGTTTCTGTCAAAAGCAGCAATCATACTCGCTCACTGGTCTTGTGGACTTTTGGTTTTCATACTACTTAACTAGAACAAGATTTTTTCAAAAGGAGGCATGAATATAAGCCAGAACACAGATCCACATGACTCCAATAAGTTATATTTAGGATACATTATTTGTAAGATCCAGATAAAAGTGGAGTGGCAGTTTTATTTTCCTTTAAATGAAAGGTTGGAGTTAAGATTTAATGATCCATTGTCATCAAAGTGTCTCTTCTCAGATTTAGGTTGCTGTAAAATGTTTGCACCCGATTCTTTGAATAAATGACAGCAAAAGAAAAGCATTGGATTTTATTATGATTGCTTCAGTGCATTTAGTTCCATTATATTATTATTTATATTTTAATAGGTTATGTACTCTCTCAATATGAGAGAGATTCTTATCAATGCTTGTGAAGTTTGGATTTGAGAGTTTTGTATGTTTTCACTTTTTTAAAATCTCAGATGTAATCTTTAAAAAAGCCACAGGATATATTTTCGCTGCTAAAATCTGTTTTAAAAAGTGGATGTTGACAAAGAAACATTACTAGCCAACTAGAGATAGATTAATGCTTCTATAAAGAAGAATGTCATCTTACACTTCCAGCCCAGAACTCTCCAGCTTCTCTCTCTTTCACTAGTTTTGAATAAACATAAATCAATTGCCCTTTTTTAATATTAATGAACCTGCAGTCTGGTGCATTGTAATCATCTTCTGCTCTGGCAAGGGAAATGGTGTCTGCAAAGAAAAAAAAGGAGGTGGATAAAGAGTATATGTTAGACTCTCTCTCTGCAGATGCAATCAGGCAATGAAGAAAGTAATCAGAGAAGAGCCTGCCAGATTTCATCTTACACAATTTTCAGTCTGTACTAAGCAAAGTAAAATAAAACCAGAGACTGTCACTTTATCAAAACATTAGCTGCAATAGTGTTCTCAGAAAAAATGTTTTTAACTACACCTACCTTTGATAATGGATTTTGAAACAAAATCCTTTAAAAAGCAGCCTGTGGAATATAAATTAATTTCACATGTGGTTTTGCCACATTAAAAGTATTTTTAAATGTACAAACAGACCGATTTAATACAGCAAGGCTAACAAGCAGCTCGTTCTTACATTTCAAAACCAGACACTGCTTTGTACAAACACACACATTTAGTTTTGATCATATGCTCCACTTAAGTTTAAACAAAAATACTTACAAACACACTCCTCATCAGCACAGAGCTTTTTGCTGGCAAGTTTGTCCATAAAAATTCCAGTCACGCCAGGGTATGTAACTCCAATGCATAAAAATAATATAACCAAATCGATAGATAGTGTCATTTTTTGATCGGTAGTGTTCTTTGCTAGGACTTCTCTCTCAAATGCATGCCAAGTCTGGTAATACTTATCTTTTATAGAAAAGCTAGACATCTGGACAAACATCCCTGACCAATGGGAAGAGATTAAGTTAACATTCCACTACTTTAAGAGGAACCACAGGGCCCCAGGGGACCCTCAGGTTTTATTTACCAAATAAAATCCCTTTCCAAAGCCTTTTTGTACCACTGCTTCAATAAACTGCTGTATTACAGAGACATTCTGTATTTTCCTGTTGGCTTTCATTAAGTATAATATTCTTATCACCTCAGGCAAAATTTGTCTGAAGATGAAAAAAATAAATCAGTCCCGGTTAAGCAGCAAATGAAATAACATCCCTTAAAGTCCATAAATCCTTGATTCTCATGAAATGTACGAAGACAATAAAGTCAGAGCTTTCTGGAGCAGACTGTCTCTGTGACATGTTTCTATAGGGCCCTTAGGCACTACTGCAAATATAAATAAACCTAGTCGGTGGCACAGGTAGTTGAATCTCAGCGAAAGGCTCTGTGCATCAGCAAATTACACTTGAAATTTAGGCACTGCACATTCGTAGTGTGGACAAAGCTTTAACTTCATTGGGTGCTCCAGTTAAAAAGCAAACATTTAACAGCTTATGCCAGAACCACCCTCCATTCCATCATAGTTTACATAACTGCAGTATCCTCACCACAGCATGGCCTTGCACCCACCGTATGTGTGAAGTCATGTCTTGCATGGGAGTGTAGAATCACATTCCTTTCTGAAAGTCTCACAGCCACTGTTGCGTAACTGGATTCTCACTGGAGAAGTTGTGCACGCAAAGCGCTACACTGCGTATGCTGTAACAGGCGGATTTGTACCCATCTCTACTCCTTCAAGACAGCATTTTAAAGGTCAACATATGTTACAACGCAAGAAAAAGGTGATAATAAAGAGAACAGTCAGTCATACCACCTTCAGTCATACCACCTACTTTTATGATCCCTGCCGTTCTCACAAGTAATGGAAGGCTAGGCCAGCTCAGGACTTGCGGGGGAGATCACTGACAAGGTACACCTGATGGCAGTTTGGCAAGTGATTATGTGGCACTCTTGTGAGAGTCAGTACCGAATCAATTCCGGGGGGGGGAATTATGGTGCAGATTTGCTTTGAGAGTAGATAGGTTCAGTCTATTCACTAAAGGTACCATGTTAATTTTGGTTGTTACGGGCGTAGTCCTCAGAGTAGCTCGTGCCTGGATCAGAAACAATAGCACAGACCTGGGCTGCCCCTTCCTCTTCACCCTATCCCCCCAAAAAAGTCCACACCAGACTCACTCAACCACACCTCACCCTTATCCAAAGGGTTTTAGTGGCCTAACAAGTTCAGAACTTAAAGGTCTGGGGAGAGCTGAAGGCAAATCTGATACCTGTTTGTCCAGATCTACATTGACTAGGGTCTGAATGTCCAGGAAAGTCTGCAGTACAAATTCCCAACAGTTCCAGTGCAGGTTTCATCAAGAATATAAAAATGTGTATTTTAATTGTATTTCTTTATTCACTTGACCTAGAAAAATGCTTTAGCTTTTCTTGTACAAAATGAATGCTTTACCCCTGTATGATTCCCAATCATACTATCTAAACACCTCACAGTCTCATGTATTTACCCTCACAACATTCCAGTGAGGTACAGAAGTGCTATTATCCCCAATTTACAGATGGGGAACTGAGGCATAAAGAGGCTAAGTGACTTGCCCAAGGGTCACAACGTCCGTGACAAATCAACTTAATGAACCTGGGTCTCCCAAGTCCCAGACTGGCACTTTAACATGCAATTCATTTAGGACCTTACTGTGATGCTGTATAGGGGCTTTGTCTTCACTATCAGGGAGATCAACGCTACTGTGACCGATTCAGCGGGTCTAGTGTCTCCATCATTCTTGTTCCAAAGTTATGCTATTGTTTTAAAAAAAAAAAGTCTCTTCTGAGACAGTAAAACATCAGTAGAAAGTAGTTAGCCCAGTAAAACAGATGATGCAAAATCATAGCTTGAACAAAATAAAAATAGCATTTATTTTTACAATGTTAGGATTTCAGCACAGCAAGTTACTATCTGCCAGATGTGGAAATCCTACAGCTGTCCTACTTGAGTAACCCTTACAGTTTTACACAAATGTCTCCTTACTCTTCTTCAAAAGAATAAAAACAATTTTAGTTGGCCAGAAAGGTGGTATCATGTTATACAAAACAGTCCTTTTAAGATCATATCCATGGTTATTTCTTAGCATAAGTGATTTTCATTGCATGGGACGGAGTAATCTTGAACCCTTGGAGAGCATCACGAGCAGCTCCTGCCTGTCCCTCATTTTCAAACTCCACAAAAGCAATGTCATGTCTCCCAGGCACTAAACGTACTTCTTTGAAGCCAGGGAACCTTTAAAACAAAGGAGAAGTCAGATAAGATTACATGGATTATATCTGATGGTAAATCTCTCAAGCAACCATTAAGCCTTATCATAAGCACCCAGTACTATAACATTCAGTCACTACTAACAACACATTTAAAAGTAGTGCAGTAGTTCTCATCTATAAGGAAATGAGAAGCTACTTGACTAGTGAATGAAGTTGCAGAGAGCCTCAAACACAGCAAGGCATTCTCCACACTGCAGTTGTCATATCTGCAGCAGCATGAGGTTACATGGTCTTTGCTCCATTACATATGGGGCATTAGGGCAAAAACATCAAGCAAGCAAAGTCAGGATGTCACACTATTCTGATAGCTCCATTTGATGGTCTTTCTCCCCAGGACACAGGGATCCTAGGAGGGATGTTTTCCATCTCCTTCCCACTCTCCACCCTTTCCTGCTTCACCTCTTCCATCCCTATGCTGCATTGGATGAGACCAAGAATGGCTCCACTGAAATTCAAAGGTCTATATGAATTGAGCTAATTCCAAATGTTGTATGCTGTGTTGTAGCTGTGGGGGTCCCAGGATATGAGAGAGACAAGGTAGGTGAGGTAATATCTATTATTGGACCAATAATACTGGTGAGAGACAAGCTTTCGAGTTTACACAGAGCTCTTCAGGTCTGACCTGAAACTTGTCTCTCTCACCAATAGAAGCTGGTCCAATAAAAGATATTACCTCACCCACCTTGTGTCTCTAGTTCCTAACGGGCAGGTGTCCATATTGAAGAGCCACCACAATTTACATGGCTGTATTTTCAGCAGTAAGGCCAAGGATTAAATGGGCCTGAGACTGAACGGATACTTTTAAGTATCCCTTAAAGGTCAGGGCTGAAGAAAATTTGTGTGCACGCGCATATAATGGGGAGTGAAAGGAGAAAAATGTTATAAACATCCGACTTACTGATTAAATAGCATAGACAGCATCATCTCATTTGTCTCTTCTGGCAAGTTATTAAGGAAGAGTATATAGTTTGGTGGATTATCAGGCACCTACAATAACAGAAGAACATAATTCAGTAAGTCATGCAAAATATAAGTAGTGCTCATCTACTTTCTTTATACTTCCACTGAAACTACTAAAAATAAGTTAACATACTGTTAATGTTCTTCATAAGACTGGTTTAGACTTCAGCCACTTATTGGCTAAACTGTATTTTTCCAATTGATCCATTTTTTCTGCTATCAGTGTTTGTATGTTATTAGTATAATATCGAGAGATGGTAAGTTGGGGGACTTAGGTATTTCAAAGTCATTCACTGTAAGCATGTAGAACTGCTAATTTTAAAAAGGCACAAATATCTAAAAAGATAATTGACCATGTCAGTTGTCATGTCCATAGAATTACCAGCTTTGAACGGCGTGCTGTAGTAAAGTTGAGGGAGTAACCATTCTATTTGAAGATCTGTAACAGATATGTACACTTGCTAATGTTGTTTCACAGTGGCCCACTGAATATACAGTGCTACAGACAGATTTGCGGACACTTTGCATATAGCAGTTCAGTACCTTCTCAAGCGAACAGGGAGATGTCTCAATGGCAGGGATCAGCATAGTTATTCTCTACTTTATTTGGCTTTAGTATTATTAGGTAATTCTCTTCAGTTGAGAAGAATAAGCCAGGTGTTACAACTAGTAACTAGTTACAAAGTCATCAACTTTGAAGGGAGAAGGCTGTACAGAGACCTAGACATTCAGCATTATATCTTCATAAGAAGCATGGCCAGAAAAGTGACATATTAAATTCCTCAAAACCAGAGAGGTGACAACAATTCCCACAAAGACACTGGATCCAGAGCATGCTGTGCTCCCACTATTCTCAGCTGTCAGATCACCCTTAGATGAACTCAGTCTGTGTTTGTTCCCACAAAGACACTGGGTCCAATTCTCAATCCTTGCAACTGGCACAAGAGAGTACAAAAATAGCTTTCCACAATTTTTTGGCCTCTGAATTTTTGGCCATGTTAAAGGGCCTACTCAACTCCCAATCTAAATGACCTCAGGCAGCTGTATGTGTTTGAGCTGTCTCAAGGCTGCTCTCATCTAGGAGTGCTCTGGCCACACCTCCTCTATTCTCTAATAGACCCTCTACGTTAGGGGACTATTCAGAGGGCAACACATAGGTGTTCTGCCAGTTCTATGGCGTCCAATAAAACCCCATATAATGGGGGTATTCTCCAAAGGCTGTTTCTGCCCCCTTTATGCCACTGGAATTGTGAAATAAAGGAGCTGGAGGAAAAAAAAAAAAAATCAGGCCCGAAGTTTGTAGTTGCAGCTGTCTCTCCATATATGCCAGTTGGGGGGGTCCTGTAAGTTGCTGGAGGAAACTGATATAACAAAAAATTCAGAGCATGTACAAAAATTTCATTCTATGTACTACAGAAAATCCCCACCAAAGTCAAATTTAAAACAACATGAAACTAGTCAAATGTGCTTTTTTAAATACTGGAGTTGTATTGTATAACACAAATATTAAATGGTGTTTGTTTAGTACTTTCTCTCCCTGCTAATTCTCAAACAGAGAAAGTAATGGCAGGAATAAATAAACTAATAAGAATTACCTGTTGATTCTGTGATGAAGTCCCTTGGACATTCAAAGAATTCTGTGTTGTTCCCTGTGAGGTTCAACATAGAAAAAACATGATTTTACCAAAAATCAGCAATGAAAAGTTTTGTATAATTTTCAATTTGAAAGCATATATTCACACCAGTTTGGTTTTCAAGGAACCTCAGAGAGCATCTTAATCCTAACCAACCCTTCAATCTTAAGGCACTGTTTCCTAAACTGTGGTCCATGGACCGTTCATGGTTTGCAAAACAGTTGCTGGTGGGAAACATGAAGCCATTGGGTTTTAAACCCCCAACACCAGACTGCTGGAGAAGACATAGCCATTAGGTCGGAATGAATTCTAAAGGTGAATCAGTAGATATGGCAAATTATTGTATTCCATCTGCCTCTTGAAAAGGTGGATTCCACAGACAGGGAAAGGCATTTTTAGAGGTGTTTCTAAACATGGCTCTCTCTGTTGAAGGCAGCACTGCATGCTTTCTGACTGAGGTACAGATAAATCCACAGACTCCTCCTGCACAAATTCAAAATCAATATTTGAGTTCTTTAAATGGATTTCAAAATGGTGGCGAAGTTAATGCAACAACAGCTCTACAAAACCTATCAAAACTCCTATATACAGGATTTAACGTTTATTCTTAATTTTGGTGTTTTCTATTATACAGGCATTAGTAAACTTCTCCAGTGCAGA